GTCGATCCGAGGGTCAAATCCATAGATTGAGCAAGGTCAATCCGAAGGTGTACGTACGTTGATCGGGCCGGGCCGATCTGAAGGTGTCGGTGAATCGAGCAGGGTCGATTTGAAGGTGTACGTACGTTGATCGGGCAAGGCTGATTTGAAGGTGTCCGTACGTTCATCGGGCAGGGCCGATTTGAAGGTGTCGTACGTTCATCGGGCAGGGCCGATTTGAAGGTGTCGTACGTTTATCGGGCAAGGCCGATTTGAAGGTGTCCGTACGTTTATCGGGCAGGCTGATTTGAAGGGGTTAGTACGTTCATCGGGCAGGACCGATTTGAAGGTGTAAGTAATTCATCGACCGGGGTAGATTTGGAGACGAAAACTTCTGAATAGCACTTATTAAATATTTGGCCATGAGGCCGACTGTCTAAGAGGAGGTGGATAGGCCCACTCATCCTTTTTAAAATGAAAAAATGAAAAACGAAAAAAAGACAAGGTTCACCTAGAAGTGTAGGTTTGAGGTGAACGATATCCAACTGTGTTGATGTCTTTGCCATGGGGGTCTGGGTTTGTAGGCGCCTTCCCTGCTTCTTGGTGACCTTGTAGGGCCTACAATCGATTGAGCTCTGGCCTCCTGTCGTTTTGCATTCAGTCAACCAGGCATGAATTGCCTGATTCATCTCATCTTCCTCCACTTATTTGAATCGTTGCTCGGCCGAGGCGTCTTCCATCGTGGTGCAACCTAGCTTGTCAGTTCTTTGTATAGTTCACCATTTGGGAGGAGACCTTTTGAAGGCGTTTACGGCTGGCTCAGGGTTACAGGAAGGGATGGAAATCTTCTCTTTGTTGAATCTGTTGACATATTCTCTCATGGCTCTCCCCCTCTGGTATACCTGTATAGATCGGCCGACCGCTTCCCGAGTTTCTTGCTGTTGGCGAACTGCACAAAGGTGTCAGTGAGCTGAGCGAATGAGTCGATGGAACCGTTCGGGAGATTTGGGTACCCTGGAGTGCTGGACCGGATAAGTTTGAACTAAAACTCTTGCACATGTAGGCTCCCTCAACTCTCGGGGTATTGAGACAGTGAACATCCGCTGCTTGTACGAGGCTATGTGATCATCTGGGTCGGTTGTGCCGTCATAGGGTTTCATGTTGGGAATGGTGAATTTCTGGGGCATGTCAGCCAGGCGATCTCATCCACAAAGGGTGAATCGGCGTAACAATGGGGTTTACCTTCTTGGTTGGGACTGGCATTCCTGGAATGCGTCTCATCACTGCTCGACATTGGCCAGCCTTTGGCTAGTACTTGTCCATAGGAGAGGGGGTACTACGGATCATCCCGTCTTACGGATCTCTACTGCATTCGTTCTCGTACCTCGTTGGGTCATCCCTCGGGGGGCGGTTTGATAAATTATTCCGTCGTGCATTCCTTGGTAGCATGGATCTTCGTTCATCCCTTCCGGTTGGAGACTCCCATGTCGCTGTTCTATTATTCCGCTACATGAATGGTCAGGGGAGTCGTCTGGTAGTCGTTCAGTCCGTCAGGATGGATGAGCTCGAGTGCTAGAGTTGGTTTGGTTTGGCCGTTCAACTGCGAGAGGTGAGCCGAGCCGAATGGGGTTTGTGTTTGGGTTGTTGACTGGAGGTGGAGCGGGACGTAGGATGGGCTGGTCTTGCGGATGCGGGCTCTCTGTTACGGATCGTCTTGGTCACGAGGCGGGGTGGATCGGCTGGATGGTGTTCTGTTGGCATAACTTTGTCCCCATTAGTCAAAACGGAGTCATCGCGCTTAACGGACGAGGCCTTTTAAAGAGGCCAAGGGGCGATGCTCTGGTGTGGAGAGAGGTTACACAGATGGGATAAGGGGCGAAACCAATTGGGGGGTACTTGTTTGGGCAGAAACTCGAGATCATAGAATTGACTTATTTCTCTTTAGAGACTGGTTTTCAGCCCTAATGGATGCGTTTTCGGCTTCCAGCACGGCCACCTTGTCCGAGTTTTGTTGCAGAGAGCGGTCAAAGCCTCCAGTCTGGCCTCGAGGCCGGAGTTAACGTTTGTGGGATTGTCAGCATGGAATATTCCTCCACGTAGTAAGGTTCGTCAGCCGAATGATTGCTAGAGGCCCCACGGTGGGCGCCAAAATGTAGACGTAAAAATTACCTGTACGGAAGGGGATTCTGATCCCATGAGGTTGAGGCCACTAGCGATCCGCTACACCTGCACACGTAGAGAAACACACGCGTGAAGCGGATGGGAAACACCGGGGTAGTGTTTGCATAGGCACTCCGACGCTCAAGTCGCAAGGCTGAGGGAGACTATATAGTGAGGGTTAGGAGTACAGGTTACCAGAAGTCTAGTCGGGGACTGTGACTACGGCGGTGATGTGGAGCTCTTAAGTCAGAGCTTTCAGTCTGAAGGTGTAATGTCATCTCGCTTTTGTGAGAGGGCTGGCCTTACTATATAGTGGTCGTCTATATCTCCCAATCCTGGTAGAAGTAGGAGTCTAGTATGACTCTAAGCAAACCCTAGAAGAATTAGGGCCGTGGTAAGCTGTCTTACCAGTATTCGAATAGGAAGGTGATTCTGATTAGGAGAGTACTCGAGTAGGAAAGTGATCAGGAATAGGAAGGTGACATTGAATGGGAGATTGATCAGGAGTAGGAAAGGATTATGGGGGTTGTGGCTCTGGATTCGCCCATGGAACTAGGAAATGGACCGAGATTAGGAGGCTCGTGCCACGTGGTTTGGACTGGCTATACTTGTACTGAATGGGCCTAATCTGGTGGGTCATATCGGGATTGGGCTGTTTCTCAGTGTCGAGCCCGTTTTCCTATCGGGTCAAGGACGATTTTGGCCCTAACAGTATATATTGGAATGGTCATGCGCATTCTTAAAATTTAAGCTTTACGTACATTAAAAACTATTAAAAATTATTTCACTCGCACAAAGTTTTATTTAAGAAATAGCATTACGTACAATAATTAAACTTAAATTAAATAATTGCTATCTCCGATCATTCATGAGACAGCTGGTAAGTATAATATGTTGTTGGAAATGTTTTATTTATGTATGCATTACTAATTGATGACAATAAATCCAAATTCGAGAGAAAAAGAAAGCAATAAATTAAAGTTAAATTGATTGAGATTTGAATGAATGGATGTATGAACAAAATTTTAAAATAAATACATACTCAGATGGGATTTGAAATAAATAAATATTTAATGAGATTTGATGAAATAGATATATGATTTAATTTGATAGTCTATGTTCTGATATAATTTTTATCACCATCATACTTAATTATAGTTTAATTCTTATTGACAAAATAGCATTTTGATGCAATAAGTGAATCAACTATATATAAGTATGGTTTACTTAGGGGATCGTAGTGGTGGATTGCTGTGCGATAACTTCTTTTGAGAATTAATCGAGGTATAAATAAGCGAATCCGAATGCCTCAATTATTTTAAAAAAAATTACTTTTTGAAACTTTGTACTTGTTTACATGGGTGCAATATGATCATATATATATTGAGCAACGAAAATTTTGACCCGCAAGTGAACATTGAAACAGCATAATATATGATTATATCATAGTTTTGAAAACTCTGCCAAGATAAGGTTTTATATTATGAAACATACAAGTTGAGTATAGCAGCACGACACAAACACGAATAGAAATTAATGTTGGAATTTAATTTAAACCTCTATTAATGCATTAGAAATTATTACACGTTTTAGAATTTATGGGTTCTTGCATAATATACATATCATAATAGTTGTTTATAATCAACATCTGATGTGAACGTTTTGAAGTTCTTAATATAGGGATCAAAGATTACCAACCAATCGTTAACTTCACAATTAATTGTAAAATCAAAATTGGGTCCGTACTAAAGAATTTTATTTACTTATATTATGGCATATAATCATAAAATTTTGTCTTTTAACGTTTATAAGTGAATATCAACACCATTTATAAAAAAATAATGAAGCAAAAATATATAATAACATGACTGGAATCCAGATTTTAAGAAAGAAATGCAAAAAAAGTTTAATAATAAAGGAGGATTAATTCTACAAAATAATACTGTAGTTGGGAAGAAGTATTAATGGGGAGGATCTAGTTGGCCATCAGAGAAATGGAATCCACCTAGAAGCCTCAAACTCAAGAGTCAAGAGCGACACTTGCTTCAAAAAGGCCAAAAGAAAGCTAGTTGATTCCAGGTTTTCGCGAGGGCTCACGTAAGCCCCTTTGTCAATTTGCATTTTGCATGGCTCTAATTACTTTCACATTCCACCTCCCCCACATCCTACCTCCTGAATCATCCTCCTTCCAGAAACTACTGCGTATATTCATGAATCTCTATCGCCATCAAATTTATGAATTTTTCACTTTAAAGTTTGTCGCTTTCAAATTCAGAGTTTAACTTGCTATTGTTTTCCACTTCCTAAAAATGGTACGGTTCAACGATTTCAAACACAGATTATACTTTAACCATCTAACATCTATTTCTTATTTCTTAAACAACTAATATAATATAAGTAGTTTAATACAAAGAAAAAATAAATATGTATCAAAATAATTTTAGCGGTTTCAAAATTAATATTATATATTTAAAAGAATTTGTGTTCGACTCCCATCAAATGGCTATTTACCGTATTTGTGATTTACTTAACTGAATATCAAGTATTAATTGAAGTGCTTGCAAATTAAACATTTAATACATACTTAATATATGATATATAATTTTATTTTCTCTTTTATACACAATTTTATTTTCTCTTTTATCTAATTAACCAATCCTATTATCAACGAGTTTATAACATTTAACACATACTTATTGAGAATCACTTACCATATATACATATAATTTAACACCATAAATAATCAAAGGTTATTGTCATTGGAGAACGAGATCACGTGAGGATAACATGCCATGGTTTGTCTCTCCCGGCTGCCAGGACCCCACTTGCAAACTTAAGTAAACTCATCTTATATATTAACCATGAACATGTTTTCATTCATCAGCCACCAGTTTCCGTGGCTACTCTTTAGCTTGCGTGATTGTTTTTGCAAGCTTTTTGTAGCAGCCATGGGCACTGTTTGTCACTTTAAACCCCATACCCTCTCCTTCCACCACCACCACCACCACGATCATCATCATTTCTATCCGATTTGGCTTTGCTATGTTTTTCTCTCTTTGCTCCCCCTCTTGGCTTCCTCCTACATGTATTCTGGTAACCTTTTTTTTTGATGATATTAATGTTTTGTTTACATGTTTATATGAATACCCTTTTGAGCTTAATGAATATTTCATCTTGTTGGTTTTTTGATGTTGGTGTCAATGAAATTTGCAGATGATAAAAGGGATGATTTGTTTCCAGAAATATTAAGAGATGAGGCTGTGGCTAGGCTCAATGAACTTGGAAAGGTGTTGCATTTGTATATTATACAGTTTTTATAATTATCATTTCATTACTGTTATTTATTTTGTGCGATTTACCTTGTAGAACATATATTAAAATAATTTTGATTTGGTTATCTTGACTAATTGGTAATGTTTTTGACATGCTTTTGGTTGTTGGAATTAATTAATTTGATGATTTATTTGTTTAGATTAAAATATTGGTGAGATTTAAACCTCTAATTGTACGAGGAATTTGAGTTCGTTATGTGATACATCTTATGGTGGAGAAATGGGTTGTTTTTGAATGTTAATTAAGAAATTGTTATTTAATTGATTAATAGGTGAGCGATGCTGATGGATATCTTGAGAGGACATTCATGAGCCCTGCTGCAGTGAGGGCGGGGAAGCTTATTCGCGAATGGATGGAGGATGCTGGTTTGAGAACGTTAGCTTTTGACCTTTCTTTGATCGGATATTGTGTTTTGGGGCTGTTGAATGATGTTGTTTTGTTTGATTTTCAGGTGGGTGGACCATATGGGCAACATTCATGGTCGGATTGAGGGGAGGAATACGACTTCTGAGGCTCTGTTGATTGGTTCTCATTTGGTGATGCTTGCTTATTTTTTGGTTTATAAAGGAGAAGACATTGACAAGAATTGCGTTGTACATTGATGCTGATAGTTTCAGTTTTGTTTTTTAAAATAGGATACTGTTGTTGATGCTGGAATGTTTGATGGGTCATTAGGCATAATCTCGGCGATATCTGCATTAAAGGTTTTGAAGAGCACCAGGATGTTGGGAAATCTAAAGCGTCCTGTCGAGGTCGGTGAAGTATCTTGTACTATTTTCTTGTATGTTTGTTAAGATTTGCACAAAATAGATCATAGAAGCCTTTTGCCGAAATAATAAAAGAAGTAACAACAGAAGTAATGCTAATGCAGAACAATGATCTTGATGCAGATTCAGTGGAATAAGATTTTTAATGAACTATAAGCCAGCTTTTAGAAATAAGAGAAAAAAATGTATTCTTCTTTGCATTTTCGTGGTGAAAATTTAGCATTCTTGCTATTCGGTAAGACTATATGAATCAATTGTGGCAGAATGAGTGATTAAATAGTAAACTGTATGTGAAACATAACTTCAAAAACTGGTTTCACTTTCCTCCGATAATCTTCCTCTGTGTCCTATTTGACTTGAACTTTTTGTTCGATGCGAAAACTCCTGTCCACAAATTCTTTTTAACAGAATGTAGGAGTAGAAACTTTTTTTGGAACTGTAATCTGAGAATGTCAAATTTGTTTGAGTTGTGGCTGCACTTCCTGTGCAACTCTTGTAATTGTTGATTTCATGTTTATTTTTTCTGGCTGAACTCTGCAGGTGATTGCTTTTAGTGATGAGGAAGGTGTCCGGTTTCAATCTACTTTCTTAGGCAGTGCAGCTATAGCTGGCATTTTACCAGTTACAACATTGCGGACATCTGATAAGAGGTTTCTGCGAGCAACTCCCAACTTTATTGATTAAAAACACTGTTGTTATCAGTATATTTATGCGTAATCCTTGTTCAGTGGTGTAACAGTTCAAGATGCTTTGAGGGAGCACTCCATAGACCTTGCAGAGGAAAGTTTGTCACACCTCAAATATGATGCATCATCTGTTTGGGCTTATGTTGAGGTATATGAGCCGGAACAATATTTTCTTGAGAACAAACCTTCAGTGATTATCAGTGCACATTTGTTGTAATTTTGCAGTTGCAGTTTTCGGAAAACAACTCACAGACATTTCTTGACTGAATGCTGCAGGTTCATATCGAACAAGGACCTGTACTAGAATGGGTTGGTTTCCCTCTCGGAGTAGTTAAAGGCATAGCTGGACAGACACGATTAAAGGTATACGAGGTTCTTTTACCACTCATCTCTGAGCTTTCACAAAAGATACTAAAAAATGACCCTTGTAAATTCAGGCTAACCATTTATGAGGATGCAAGGAAAAATTCAGATAAACCTTTTTTTATTTGTACAATGTTTTTGCCGAAAATCTTGTTTTCTCTGAATGAGCTTTTCTATGTGGATGAATTTTTTCAGGTTACTGTAAGAGGTTCACAAGGGCATGCCGGAACAGTTCCAATGTCAATGCGTCAGGACCCGATGGTTGCTACAGCAGAGTTAATCGTACTGCTGGAAAGTCTTTGTAAGCATCCTAAAGATTATCTATTTTATGATGGTGATTCCGATGCTTCCACCTTGGAATCACTCTCTAGTTCTCTCGTCTGTACTGTTGGAGAGATATCAACATGGCCGAGTGCAAGCAATGTCATCCCAGGACAGGCAAGAAATGTTTCTCTCAATGCTTCGGATTCTGCTGATAAGTCCCACTTTTAGTTTTTGAACTGACAGAAGTCAAAAACTGCAGGTTACATTCACTGTGGATTTACGAGCAATTGATGACAAGGGACGTGAGGATGTTCTTTACGAATTATCCAATCAAATGTATCAAATATGTGAAAGGCGTTCTGTTTCTTGCTTCATTGAACGGAAGGTGAGACACTTTCATCTTAACCTGCACCTCTCTTTCAGAAAGCATATTCACTAACGTTATGTGCTACGGATGGTTTCAGCATGACGCAAATGCAGTGATCTGTGATTCCGAATTAAGTTCCCAGCTGAAGTCTGCAGCCCATGCTGCATTGAATAAAATGACTGGTGAGACTCAACATGAAGTTCCTGTTCTAATGAGCGGCGCAGGGCATGATGCAATGGCCATGTCTCATCTAACCAAGGTTTGTTCTCTAGAGCTGAATTTACATTTTATAGAAAGTAAAAGCTTCCAAAACATATGGTAATCATGCATACTTTTTTTGAACAGGTCGGAATGTTATTTGTTCGTTGTCGTGGAGGAATAAGTCACTCCCCTGCGGAGCATGTATTAGATGATGATGTCTGGGCTGCTGGTATGGCAGTTTTAGCATTTCTTGAAACTAATTTGTAAAGTTCAAGGTTCTTTGAACATTCATGTACAGCATTGTAGTTCCTTTTAATAATACAACAGCATGCCTCAATTGTACATTTCATTTCATTAGCGATTTTGGCATGCTTTTTTGATCATTAGAGAGACTGCCAATGAATGTTTTGATTTGTGATTTTTTTATTTTCGAACATACAAATTTAAATCAACCACCCCTGTGACTCTGGCTCGAGTAGCATTTGACTCTTAAAGCTCCTGTACAATCCCATGAGATTCAAGCAGCTGAACCAACTACTTTTTCTCACATATTTTTGCTTGAATTTGTATCTGTGTGATCACTTAGCAAACAATTAAGAATTTTTTACCTTCTTGCATAAAAGGACAACCCTTTTATGCAAGAAAACTAACCCTTTTCCGTTCTAAATTTATTGTCAATAAAAATCTTGTTTTTCATTCAAGTAGAAAGATCGTATCAAGAAAGAATCTTGATTTTGAATAGGTTAGAATGCTGTGTGTGATTAGTGGGAATAAGCAACTGCTGCAGATGAACAACTCTGCACGTACAACAGCCCAATAAGGGAGCTCTTGTCATGCATGATTGATGACATGGCACACCCTCATTGGAGGGTTGTACTTGTACGTGCATCGGATGCATGGAAGAATTCTTCCCTGCAGACCTATATGCTTATGCTGGTTTGGAAGTTTCAGAGTTCTTGATACTTGGATAAATTGGAACATTCTCTAACAATCATGTACAACATAGAGTTTACTGATTTATTCAAACGTTCAGGGAATATTGATTTTAAAATCACAAATTTTCCATCCACCTGACAATTTCTGAAACTTCCAGGATGGCCCTTTTTTCCCGATAATAAAAAAGAAGTTTAGATTCAATTAGTGCTGCAAAATGGTAGGGGCCTCGGGGCTTACAAATGAGTCCTATGGCAAGATGAAAATAATCTATAAAATTACTGCAATACTTGAATAGAAAACACCTGTTTTACAACTACATTAAATAAAAATACATCAAGGCATGCTGAGTCTGTTAATCTAAGTCAGCTCTAAACTATTGTTTCTAAACTTATGATTCTGCAAAACTAACATAATCTCAACTAGCGAAAATCCCAGTTTTATGTTTCGTATGGTTAGTATTGCAAAATCCTCTGGAGGTTGAGATAAGAGGACTTACTTCAGAACAGTTGGCTGGGCCAACTGTTGCAGCTGATGAACGATGTGGGACATTCTTGGGCGCATAGAAGGGACATGTTGCGTACAAGCATATACGAGGTCCACCACCTTCTGAACGACTATGGCTTCTGGAATGTCAGAAGATGAAGAAGATATGAGAGGATCCAAGAGCTCCAGGTAGCGATGTGACTGCATCAAAGGTGTGGCCCATTCAAATATACTCTGCCAGCCCACTGAATCGACTGCCTGAGCAGGCCTGCGCCCGCTTACAATTTCCAGAAGTAGAACTCCGAAGCTGTATACATCACTTTTTGTTGTAAGCTCATTTCTGTAAACGAATTCTGGAGCAAGGTACCCATATGTGCCACCAGCCATTACTGTCCTCTCCTGCATCACTTCCCATGGCACAAACTTTGACAAACCAACCCCCATCAAATGTGCTCCAAATTCTTCATCAAGCAAAACATTACTAGCACGGATATCCCGATGCACAACATGCGGCTTAACCTTGTCATGCAAAAACCTGCTTCAAGATTTGACAAAGTGAGCTATCAAGCAAAAGAATAAATCAGTACAAAAGACTGCATCAAATAAACCATGAACTATAGATCTTTTAATCAGTCATGACCGCCTTTTCAAAAATAATGAAATATGCTCTTACCTTTGGTAAAAGTTAAGCTACATCAGTTCGATGCAACATATATGAAACTATTAACACAACAGGCTAAAGGAGACCTGCTACACACATCAATGGAAAAAAATGTAGCATCTAGTTCTTGTGATTTTGGTACAGGATGATTGTAACCAAAAGTGATGTGTGAATTTTGAAAGTATACATTGTAACAATAAACATTTAGAACTAACAGTGTAGGAGGCGGAAGGATTTATACTTACGCAATTCCTTGAGCAAGAGTTGTGGCAATTTTCATTCTCATTGCCCAATCCAAACTTCGTCCTCCCCTTGGGATGTGGTGTAGCCATCGATCTAGGGGGCCATTTACTACAAACTCATAAACAATGTAGCGGTCTCCGTGATCGTAACAGCATCCCTTGACAGCCACCAAATTTGGATGATGTAGCCTTGCAACCCTTCCGATCTCAGAATAGAACTCCTTCTTCCTTTTAAAGCTAGACCTTTTTAACCTCTTAACTGCCGCCCTTGATCCATCAGGTAGAATGCCACTATATGTGCTCCCTGTTTTCGCATCTCCCACAAGGCGATTTCCTTCACTAAAATTCTTTGTAATTGACCTCAATTCCTCACTGGTGAACACCTTCCAGGAGGGGGGAACTAATGCAGAAGCTGCTGGATTTGATAATTTGCGAGACTTTCTGCGCCTCTTGCTCCGCCTGTATGCAAGGAGCCAAATCACAACAGCCAATGTTGTGATAAGGATCAACCCACTTACAACTCCAAGGATGATAAGGTATTCCCTATGGCAGTGCAAGTAGTAGCATTTGTTCTCTATGGAAAAGGAAAAATAAAGTCAAAAAAGAAAAAAAAAATCTGACAGAGATTATAAAATGATTTCAACAACTGGCAAAACACTGACATCCTAAACAGCCAAACAAATAATATCAACAAAACCAAATTATTTATAATTCAAAATGGAAAATTCACAGAGAGAATAAAAAATTGAGATGACAGCTGTCTGGTAAGTGAGGCCTTACCAAAATTGATCATGCAAATAGAAGCATGAGATGCACTGCATCTCTCAACCACGAGGGATGTAGATCCATTAGTCACCAATATACATAAATCAACCGAAGCATTGACATGGCAAGGAAAATTAGTGCAACTGGAGTGTAAAGATCCTCTCAGCGAGACTGATTCATTCCATTGTGTCACATTATCAGACCACTTCCAATTCAAACCAACAGTAGTATTAATGCCTCTTCCTCCAGTCCAGCAGCCATTGGAAGTTTCACCACATAACTTCTGAACCGAGTTTAGTTCTTCATATGATGTGAGGGCAGCCAAGTGCCCACCAAGGTCTTTACATTGGATCTCCGACTGATCCCATGACTGGTTGCCTCCTATATATCGAAAACACTTGCTCTTATCTGGACTGATAACCCAGCCAGAAGGGCATGGTGCTGTCCAGCACAAAAATGAAAAGGTTAAATCCAAATGGTTGCACATGTATGAACAATAGAGAAGTAATAAGCCATATTTCTTTATAATCACAATAACATTTAAGAAATTTGCAAGTACTATGAGGAACTGTGTGATACAAGAATATCTTTTAGCTTACTCCAATAGAGTTAAAATATTATTGTTGAGCCTTTACATACCAATTTAAACTCTTTGGATTCAGTGAGTACTTAGAATAATATCAAAGATAATATCAAAGCTGAGTTGAACAAGATTTGACTATTCAATAGTCAAATTTTAATAAGTGTGTCCCATCCTCATGCTTTGACGAAATAGAATAGGAAACCAAAAGAATGTAAGGCTCCGTTTGATACACTCTTCCAAATATTATTCTGGATTTCCCAATAAAGTTAAACAGTAAAATTGGCTTATTCTCAAAATATTATTCTATATTATTCAATTTCTTTTAAACCCCCCTAAATTTGTTAATTTAACAAAACACCCCCAAATTATTTTTTAAGAAATTGCAAAAACACCCCAGCAACCCACATTTATCAGATTCCGGCCACCACTGTGGGAAGCTGGTGGGAATCTGGTATAATGGAGCACTACCGGCTGAATCTGGCCGGTAGTGCGCCGATCTAGCCTTTTTTGGCCAGACCCACGGTGGATATGGCCGGAAAAGGCCAGATTTACGGCCAAAGATCTGGCCGTCAATGGCCGTAGCCAGTCATCAACGACGGCCGTATCTTTGGCTGTCGTTGATGAACAAATGCGGCCAGATCTAGTCGTAGATCTGGCTGGAAAAGGCCATATCGACGCACGACTGGTAAGATCCAGCTAGTCATGCGCCGATACAGCGACTCCGATCACCCTCTGGTGGTGGTGGCAGACTGTCCATATTTAATGGGTGGATTGTAGGTGTTTTTGTTAACTTTTAATATTTTATTATAGGGGTGTTTAGTAAATAAACAAACATAGGAGGTATTTTTGTTAATTTCCAAATCCTACATCAACCCATCCAATTTAACTTTTTTCAAAATATTATTCTAAAAAGTATTAGAATAATATTTTGAGAATTAGCCAATTTTACCGTTTAACTTTATTGGGAAAACCAGAATAATATTTGAAAGAGTGTATCAAACGGAGCTTTAGTTATTCTAAGAACATCCCTTAGTTTCCTCTTTGATTTTAAACAGTCACTGGAATTATTAATTACGTGTATTAAGAACCTCCCTTGGTTGCTGAAGGTTATACTAAAAGAGAAAACTAAAGGAATGTTCTTGAAAGTGGAATTATCATAGCAGAACTTTGACGGCTATACCCAAAGAGCTTTCAGATTAATCATAGATTATTCCAAATATTAGCATGCGTAACATCCTAGAGAGAGAGAGAGAGAGAGAGAAAGAGAATAGATTTCGTGTTTCCTCTCTAGTTTGCTATCATATGCTAGCTTTGAAAAATCTAAGATACAACAGGTTCAACAAATCTGAACTACAGGAAACAAGTTTGTGATTACTGTACCTCCATTTATTAGGAGAGTTTATTTACATTCTATATATTTTTAGCTGGCAATGTGATAAACATCCTGTATTAAGGGTTTATTCAAAGAGAGATAAGGTAAAGTTTGGTAGTGGACAGGGCTGTTAGGAGTTCGTTATATGGAATTATCCTATAATCTTAGAATTATCCTATTAATGATAAGTTAGCAGTTTATTATATTGTAAATATCCTCAGGCTATAATCTAGGGAGTTTGTTATTAGGCTTTAATTAGACACTATTACAAATAAGGGATTAAGGAGGGGAAAAGGTAGTTTTTAGGTGAGAAGTTGAGTTAGGGTCTGGTGACTTATTCATCAGAATTGGCTTGCAGAGAGGCCATCTCTCTGTAGGAGTTTCTTTGATTATTTTATTCTAATAACAGTTATTTCAAGTATTTACTAGAATTTGCTACAGTTTCCCTATAATTCTGCTATTATCTATCACAATGCAATTGGCACTCCACTTTTAGCCTCTCACACTTCACACTCCTAATAACATGAGAAGTGAAGCGCAAAAAGTTAAAAGTGGGGCGTCAATAGCATCATCATTCAAATTTATAAAGGCATAATAAGATTTTTAGCTCTTTTGAGTGATTACTATAAAATTATTGATTATATGTGATTCTTTCAACCACACTTCTCTATAATATTAACTGATATTTCTTGAATTTTTACAATTAAGACAACTTCAAACTACAAGTGAAGGACTTACAGGAGATCTTATTATAAATGCCAATAAACTTCCTGTGTGTCAAAATGATATGAACAAAACTTTGTTTGCCGCCAAGATAGCCTTGTGGAGAGGTGCATAATGATGGGCCATCTAGTTACAATTAAATCCTTTACTAGACTGTATGCTCTTTCTTTTGGATAGATTAATAGTATTTGCATGTCACTTAGAAACTCTAAGGACAACCCATGAAAAGAACTAAATAAGTATCACTTCAATGGGTGCCTTTATAATGTCAATTGTCATTCACAAGCAAACATCTTCTGAGAACTAATCAGACAATTCCAAAATTACATATCACATTGTGAGAACTATTCTCTAATGTCATCCATACAATGAATCAACCATGTGCAAGAAGGCAAACAAGAATCACCAACATTTTTAATTACAACTAACAGATTATGAAAGCACATCCATCCTAAAATTCGTACCTTTAAGATCTTTATTCTTGGCAGACGTGGATTCTCCACCACTTGACTGATTAGCAATCTGAGGAACCAAAATGAAGCTTCAGAATACAAGTTCACATACTAAAAAATGCAAACCCTCTAATTTCCATTTAAAAAAAAGAAAAACAATAATCTTACAGTATTTGAAGCCACAAGCTGGAGAACAGCATAAACGGTCAAAAGCAGAACAAACTGCACAGACACCAGCTTCCTTTCCATCAGAACAATCTGACAAAATCCTAGATTCAAAAAATGAAACAATTCATGAGATAACAGCCCTATAAAAAACTAACCCAGAAACAATAATTAACCTGAAATTCATGAGATAATATTTCTATTGCAACTCAAATTAAGCTCATTCAACAAAACAAACAACAACTAAGCTCCAATTACAAGCAAAACTCAAACCCTAAACCCTAAAAACACATAAAACTAATTCAATTCGAGTATAAATACAAATAAAAATAAAAATAAAAATGAAACCTTAATCCCCATCTGGGTACCCAGAAAACAGAGAGAGAGAGAGAGAAAGAGAGAGAGAGAGAGAGAGAATACAATTCTTAAGCCTGGCAAAAATTAAAAAAGAAAAAAGAAAAACCCAAGATAGCACCTTTACTTTTCCCATTGTTTCTCAGTAAACAAACAGAAAGTAAGCAGAAATCAAAGAAGTAATTAGATGGGGTATATTGAATTACCGTGAAATGAAGTGGGTTTCAACCAACTTTCAATTTTTTTCTGCAGAAAGTTTCAACCTTGGAGCTTCAGCTGAGTGGTGAGCTGGGGAAAAATGGAGACTTTGATTATGAACAGTGGATTTTCTACTATTTTCATTTTTTTTTTAATTTTTGGTTTATTAATAGTAACTGGTTTTGTATTTAAGAGAGAGTGGGTGGTTAGTCCGGATTTCTGACACTGACCCTCCAAATTTATTTCTTCACTCTGTTCTTACAATTTTTTCTAATTCTTTTTTTAATAATTAAATGGATTTGAAAAAAAAATTATAATTAAATAATAGAAATTCTGTTATTGTTAAATTTTTTGTATTAAAATAAACGAAACAAAGCTAATTAAAATATTTATTAACTCACCGTGTAATAAAGACTAATAACATAGATTTATATTATTTCTAAAATTAAAAAAAAAAAATTATTGAGTTGGTGAGAGCCCACTTTGGATAAAGGATTATTTGTAAAGATCTTGACTATCGCCAATGTATCAATAGAAATAGTTCATTCAACATTATATCTAAAAACTTATATAATTTTGAGCCATATTATTACACATTTTTTTTTTTTAATCTTATATCTCATTTAACAATTCACTATCACGTCTCTCCATATAAAATGTGAATACTCAGATAAGAAATCAAATCTGAGACTGTATATCTATTCATACTATCTTTATATTATCCTAAATTCGTTCTAATTATCTGTGTTACTCATAGATGAGTTTATTATAATATATCATTAATAACGAATTACTATGATCATTTATATGTATAGTTAGGTGAAGAAAATTTTTGTGAGTATTTTCGAGTTTATATTTTAAGTCATTTTTCTTTTTTAAATGGCAAAGTCTTTATAATTGCAAGGTGTCCCACTAACTTTGAAGTTTCAACAACCAACAAAAATATGTAGGGCCTGCTCTGAAGCAATCACTTGTTATATACTTATTGGCTTCACGGGCAAAATAGAAGACAGAGATTTACCAAATACAGTTCACCGATTTTGACAATAATGAATTTTATAAATACAATACCGTTAATAATATTACTAGTTTTATGATATGATATCTATAATCATACCGATAAATAATATATATTATGAGTTTCACATTTCTTGTTTTCAGTTTATAAATTTTTATCAGTGATACCAAAGATAGTAGAATGTATACTTTCACCGCTCTAATTTAGTTTATCTTCTATTGCATTTAATATGGAGGACAAATCTTTCCCCTCCAATCTTTGGAAGCTAATGTTGTCACCCAAAATAAAGTTTCTTTTAATTAAATGTGAATGCAAAGTCGTAAGAGGTAGAAAATATATTTTGAATATAGGATTAGGGGTTCTGGTCGAACAATTGATTATTTTTACTTTCAAGAATTATGATAGTATCAAAACGGTTAACTATTTTTCAAAATTTCTAATCATTTGTCCAAAACTTCTAACCGTTTAGCAAAACATGTTGGCGGTTTATTTAAAATATTTTTTAAACCTTTTGGAGTTTTACATTTAACTAATACATTTTAATCAAAATTAATTTGTAGGGCATATGAAAAAGACTAAGAGCTGGATGATCCCACCATGAACCATTAATTAATTTGTTTGGTGAGGACTTGAATTGAACATGTGCCAAGGAAAATGAATTTCAATGTGAAAAGGAATATTGATTTCTAATAACCAATCTTTTTCATGTGCTTGACTCAAAAGATCAAATAATTAATTAAAGACATTCTGAAGTTAGTTTCCTTATCAAAGTTAAATAAAAATCTTCATAAAATAATTGATAGAAAATTTGATAAAGAAAGTATTAACTTGAACGACTAGAGGGCTTGGATTTATCACTCTGGCACATTTATAAACTAGATAAAGTTGAACCAAATGGACCATATGTACATCAATAGATACATCCAATGGCTGAAACAATCAAAGCTAAATAAATAAAAATGGGTCCACAGGTCAGATCAAATGGCACTCATTTGGTTCCAATATCTTGTTCTTATTGATGAGATCAACATATAGATGTCATATGTTACTAAGTAATTAAGCTTATTTAATTCTTATAATCTTTGTAATTTGTAGTCTGTCTTCAAGCCAAGGCAGTCTCTATTTTTGATACCTTAGGGCTTAGTTTTCTTAATCACAACATAATCTTCATACAAGACAAGAATTTTTATGATAATCCATAATCCATCGGTTTATTCCCTTAATCTAACCTCATGTAATAGGACCAAAGCGGATCCTATTGACTCATCTATTCCCTTTATAAATTAAGTTCCTCAAATACATCTCACCATCAGTTTTTTACTTCATTTTTCATCATAAAAAAGATGACCAAATTCCACTCTTTTTCCTTCAATTTCTTCACCATTTTTATCATTCTTCTGTTTGCATCAGCTGCAGCCTCTTCAAAGTGTTCATGTGAATCGCAAGATCATCATCAAGAGCAAGACCATATTGATTCTCAAGCTCTCAAATACAAACTCATTGCCATAGCTTCGATTCTCGTAGCAAGTTCACTAGGAATTTGCCTCCCACTTTTGGTCAAAAACATCTCATATTTATCTCCAGAAAAAGACTTCTTCTTCCTCGTTAAGGCCTTCGCCGCGGGCGTGATCCTCGCAACCGGGTTCATTCACATTCTTCCTGATGCTTTTGAGAGCTTAGAAAGTCCTTGCCTTCCTGAAAATCCATGGCACAAGTTTCCTTTCTCCGGCTTTGTGGCGATGATGGCGGCTGTAGGAACCTTGATGATGGAGGCCTATGCCACTGGGTTCCATAAGAGGTTAGAGCTCAGAAAAGCTCAGCCTGTCGATGGCGATGAAGAAAGTGATGATCATCATCACCACCATGAAGCTCATGGCGGCCATGTTCATGGCTCTGGTTTGGTAATGGAAGCACCCAATTCTTCTGAGCTTATTCGGCACCGTGTTATTTCTCAGGTACCAAAATCAAACTCTCACCAATGTGTTTTGTATGAAAAAAAATATTTGCTTGGACAGAGATAACACGTTATCCATACGATATATGTTTACGTTTTTCCGTATTCTAAATTGATGGTTTTTACGTCTCTGTATATCTGTCTAATTTCTCACACGCATGTAGATATATCAAATACGAAAGTTGATTTATACATCCACATTGCATTATGTATATACACCATAGTTTTAAGGAAAGGACATACTGTTTTAAAATGTTGATTGTAGTATACTTTACAAATAAATATTAAAAGCCAAATTTTTATAGTTTCCAATACAAAAAAGTTGAATTGAAATTTTGTTTTTTTGAGTTAGATGATGTCAAATATATTTCTGTAACCGATACTAATTAATGAGGTCTGTATTTTAAAATAAAATACCAAATATTTTGATACGTTCGTAGTAAATACCAAATGATAAAATTTATAATTTTCGAAAGTTTTATCAGACCATTTGTTTTTTATGTTGATAAAGACATATATTTCTTAGGTGTTCCCTACCTACTAAATAGAGAACTAAGTTGGAATAGCATGATTAGGAGTGACGTGGAGATGCCATATCATAATAAAGATAAAAGGAAAAGACAAAAAATAGTTTACTAATTCCTAGCTATCATAGTACCGGAAAATTGAAAAGGAACTTGTTAATAACCTTTAATAATTAAACCTTATAGTACATAATGCGACAATATGAAAGGTAGATAGAATCTCGAGTTTATTTTATCTTTTTGGTGGTTTCATTGTCGTTTATTGGATGAGGCATTGGAAGATGTTTTACCGAACTAATACATGTCCAATTATAAGCACTGCACACATAAATTATTATCAAAATTATAGGACCTTTTGTTACACTTTTTAAAAAGTATTATTCTGAAAAAATATTTTAAATTGAGTTGAGTTGAATCAAATGAAATTGGATTTAAATATAAAAATATGTTTGATAAAATATCTAAAAATTATATCAGAGTTAGATAAAATGCTGAAGAGTTATTTGATATATTTTTTTTAAAAAAAATTTTAAGACAGAATAATTGTTTGGTACGTTTTCTAAAAATATTTAGATTATTTTTTAACTCCTTATATTTGTTACTTTAGCTAAATATCCCCACAATAAAAGTTTAAAAATTAACTAAAACACCATAGCGACCCAAGAGGACAACTGGACGTCGGCCATCACCATTGAACGGCAACCAGCAGTCGTTGGAATAGCACATGACTGGTTGGATTTGATCAATCATGTGTCGATATGGCCATTTCCGGAACGGCCAGATCTACTGCTAGAATCTGGCCATTGACTAGATTCTAGTCGTAAGTCTGGCTAGATTGGCACACAACCAACCTCGTGTGCTGTTCTGACGACGTCGATCGATAGTGGCAGTGGTGGTTGCTGGCAGACGATGGTAGTCTTAGATGAATTAATTTTCAGATTGGAAGGAGAGAAAAATGAGGAGAAAAGGAAAAATGTTTTCAGTTGAATAATTTGAAAACAAGTTCCACCCTCTTTTCATTTTTAGACAAAAACTCTTATTTTATTTAGATTAATTTTCAGATTGGATTGACCCAATAAGTAAACAAACACATATCTTAATTTTTTAATCCAAATGGGATAACGGAATAATGATAAAGAATAATGTAACAATCAGGGGCATAACAAAACATGTTTATTATTATTATTTTTTAATATTTTACAAAGCTCTCTCTTTATGTTAATACATATCGTGTTCTATATTATAATCAACAGGTTTTAGAATTGGGAATTGTGGTTCATTCAGTAATTATTGGAATATCTTTAGGAGCTTCAGAAAGAGTGAATACAATCAAACCACTAGTAGTAGCGTTGAGTTTTCATCAGTTTTTTGAAGGAATGGGTCTTGGAGGATGCATATCTCAGGTATTATCAACTGATCAATCGATTCAAACTGATTTGATTTAATTAATTCTTAGTTAAGAACGCAGTTTGCTGTATGTGCATAAGAAATTAATTTTATTCATAATCTTGCAGGCAAAATTCAAGTCTAGGGCCATTGCGATAATGGTGCTATTCTTCTCCCTGACGACCCCAATTGGAATTGCAGTTGGAATTGGGATATCAAGCATTTACAATGAACACAGTCCAACTGCTCTAATTGTTCAAGGTCTTCTCAATTCAGCATCAGCTGGCATCTTAATTTACATGGCACTTGTTGATCTTCTTGCAGCTGATTTTATGAAGACCAAAATGTTAAGCAATACTAGGCTCCAACTTGGAGCTAATTTTTCTCTTATTCTTGGAGCATGTTGCATGTCACTCTTAGCCAAATGGGATGACCACTAATTAATTTTAGTCTTGATTGACAGTTAAGATTCAATAATGTGTGTCAATCCAGCAGTTATACCACGTTAGTTTGTACACAAAAATTTGTTATATATAAAATGATACAGAGTTCAATAAAATAATATTCAAGAATTAAAGAACCAGTACTAATAGAATCAATAGCTAATGAAATGATTAAAATTTTCGCATTAAACTTTTGCAAACTTTATTAATTTATAATTTATTGGGCAATCTTGTTGGAGTTGGGCCTAACTTCTCACCCAAAAGGCTTTATTGAGTAGGAGGATTGTCCACTCTTATAAACCCATTGGCTTGAGTGTGTCTAATCAATATGGGATCTCTAACACTCCTCCTCATGGTCAAGCCCATATGGTCAACTTGCCTATGAATGGAGGTAGTTTGATAGCCCACCGCTGGTCAATCACTCAGCTCAAATGGGGCTGACTCTGATACCACGATAAAATTTGAGTTGGGCCTAACTCCTCACCCAAAAGGCCTTATTGAGTAGGAGGATTGTCCACTCTTATAAATCCATTGGCTTGAGCGTGCCTAGTCGATATGAGATCTCCAACACTCCCCCTCATAGTCAAGCCCATATGGTCTACTTGTCTATGAATAGAGGTAGTTTGACAGTCCATCGCTAATCAATCACTCAGCTCAAGTGGGACTGGCTCTGATACCAAGTGAGAATTGTAAATTGAGAGAAAATTAAAAAGGATTAAAGCTTCAATTTGCTGTATTTGATTGAATGAATCTTCACACAATAAGGGTTTGCTACTTAAATGAAGACAGTAGCTAAAGAGAGTAAAGTGAAAGGGAAAGCAAAATACAGAGATATTCGTTCTCTTTAAGAGAGAAACAAAAAACGCTGCGTTTTTTGTTGTTACTTAGCTAAATATTAACTAAGCCCTTATCTTCTGAACTCTGATACTTTAATATTTAGCTAAGTAACAATAAAAAACGCTGTCATTTTTTGTTTCTCTCTTAAAGAGAACGAATATCTCTGTATTTTGCTTTNTTAAGCGTGCCTAGTCGATATGAGATCTCCAACACTCCCCCTCATAGTCAACCCCATATGGTCTACTTGTCTATGAATAGAGATAGTTTGGCAGCCCATCGCTAGTTAATCACTCAGCTCAAGTGAGACTGACTCTGATACCAAGTGAGAATTGTAAATTGAGAGAAAATTAAAAAGGATTAAAGCTTCAATTTGCTGTATTTGATTGAATGAATCTTCATACAATAAGGGTTTGCTACTGAAATGAAGACAGTAGCTAAAGAGAGTAAAGTGAAAGGGAAAGCAAAATACAGAGATATTCGTTCTCTTTAAGAGAGAAACAAAAAATGACAGCGTTTTTTATTGTTACTTAGCTAAATATTGAAGTATCAATATTTAGCTAAGTAACAATAAAAAACGCTGTCATTTTTTGTTTCTCTCTTAAAGAGAACGAATATCTCTGTATTTTGCTTTCCCTTTCACTTTACTCTCTTTAGCTACTGTCTTCATTTCAGTAGCAAACAATTATTGTATGAAGATTCATTCAATCAAATACAGCAAATTGAAGCTGTAATCCTTTTTAATTTTCTCTCAATTTACAATTCTCACTTGGTATCAGAGCCAACTCCATTTGAGCTGAGTGATTGACCAGTGGTGGGCTGTCAAACTATCTCCATTCATAGGCAAGTGGACCATATGAGCTTGACCATAAGGGTGAGTGTTGGAGATCCCATATCGACTAAGTACGCTCAAGCTAATAGGTTTATAAGAGTTTATAATCCCTCTATTCAATAAGACATTTTGGGTGAGGAGTTAGACCCAACTCAAATTTTATCAGACAATAATGAGCAAAGAAATAAATAATGAAAAAAACTTATCTGAATTTACTGGACTCCATTATTGATGCTCAATTTTCTATAGGAACTGTTTATACTGATGCTACGTACGTTCACATGTTTGCCAATTTACTTGGAAGTCAAAGCTTTTTTATTCGATCCATTTAAGAGCTGTGATTTTCATTTTTCACCACGGTGGCTCCTAGGGCCTTTGTCGGTGGATGTAAAAAAAAAAAAAAATAGTCAATTCAGTCTCAATATAACCATTACTACTTGGGGATTGATGGGTTCTTGCCAATGTATACTAATTGAAAGAACTTGCCAGCAACGTGTAAGTCAGTATACCAATCAAGAAGGGAAATAAATAAAAAAAAAAAAAAAGGGAAATGCTAAATCCTGATGATAAAAACATGTACCATGTTGGATATGGTTCATATTTTACATGATCTTGACCCCTACGCAGATGTATTTGGGGGTCCCATTCCTCGATGAGTGGGTGGCGGTCCTGCTCGTTGGTGAGCAGGCAGCGGTGAGGGGCAGCCCTTCACAATAAATCCAATTAGTAATTGGACTTGTTATTGTTTTACTAATATTTGGCCTGAGTTAGGTTAGATTCGAGTAGGTCCAAATGGGGTAGAGTTTTTTCTATTATATAATGTAATAGTGAAAAACCTAGGGATACAAGAAAAAAAAAAAATAGAGAGAGAGTGAGTTGCCGTCAATTATTGATTTGTAATTACTGCATAGTTCTGAAACTCAAAAAAATCTCTATTCAAATATTAGACGTAGTTCCTTAATCGGAATGAACCAGGATAAATCAAGTGTTCTTTATTTACTTTTCTGTTTATTTTATTGAGTGTGTTTGGCTGGTGTTTCACGATACCACATCTTAGATGAATACATGGTAGAGTTAACGTAAACACATGAACCGATTTCGTCATTATATGTTGATGCTCATCAGACAATTTTCACTATAAAAAGGTCTCAAAGGAAGTGTCACGAACAACGATAATGATCAGCATTCTTGAGGATGGCCTCTTCTTCATCACAGCAGCGCGGTCTCACACGTTAATTTGTAACAAACAAACAAAATGCAATTGTGAGAATTTTCTTGTTAATTTGTGTGTTTTTATTGCAGACGATCTCACACGTTACCTGCCACTGCATAAAGCTATATTCGAGGGCAACTTGGCATCGGTAAAACAACTCTGTGACTTGGAAGAACATGCTTTAGAAGCCAGGATCACAGTAAACTTGGACACAGCGCTTCATGTAGCAGTTGGGACAGGCATGGCGAATGATATTGTTGAGTATCTATTGAATAAGATGTCAACGGATCAGGTAGCTCTAAAAAACAGTGACGGCAACACGGTCCTTTCTATTGCTCTCATTGCTGGTAATATGGAAGCAGCAAAGTTGCTTGTGGAGAAAGATGAAAGCTTAAATGGAGTTAAGAACAGCAGTGGCTGAATAGCTTTGATTCTGGCTGCTCAATATGGGCAACAAAAGATGATTGATTATTTATGGCCATACAGTGGAAATTTCTTTATGCCTGACAGAAAATTTTCTACAGATACAATATGTGTTTTCTTCATGAATTTGGTTATTGGTGCTGAATTTTATGGTTAGTAATGCTTCGATTTTTGCTTTCTTACAAGTATACCGTAACTCAATATCTTTATGTAATATATAAGTTCCTTTACTTTTATCTATCTTTATTGTTAATATGATTGATATGATTAAATTTAATATCTATATGGCATGCATTCACATGTATTTCAGATATTGCACAGCCAATTAAAACTTTGCTTGGAAAAGTTTCATTTAAATTTATCAGTATATACTTTTAGCTATATTAATTTGTTTGTTGAATTTGATTTGAAATTAATTCTATATTTCTATACATTGTTGTGTCTCAGACTTGGCTCTGAAATTGCTACACGATTGTCCAAATTTAGCGACGATGATGTCATCTGATGGGGACTCCCTTTTGATGGCATTAGTCGGAAAGCCGTCTTCATTTTCAAGTGGGAGAACGCCAGAGTTCAGGCTGCGTGAACTTGGTGAGTATATATCTAAGATAATTCTTATCTTATATCATCATCTGTTTTTTTTCTTTTTCATTTGTTTGATTGCTTCTATTTTTGTTGCTTGGTAGATTATTATTGCTTTTGGTCATCATGTACATTTGATCTTTTAAGATAGTTTCTTTTGATTATAATTTTATACTTTATATATGGTACGGTTATGTCATTGTTTAGTTTGTTTAATTTACAGTTACAAAATATATAAAAAGACGAGAATAGAGAACTTCGACTTGTCCAAGTCTTGTGCGAGGAGATAACAAGAAGAGTAAAGGACATTTTCCCACCCAAGGTTTGGCGAATTTGCAAGTTCCCACCCCTGTCATAAATTGTGGATTCCAACCCTTAGATTAACAGAAAACTGTTTAATCTAATAGTTAAAAGGGTAAAATAGTCATTTCAAAAATGAAAATTTCAAAATAACCTTTGACTTTTCAAATTCACCCCACCGAAAAATTTTAAAATAACCATTGACTTCTCAAATTCACCCTACCGAAAAATTTTAAAATAACCCTTGAATTATAAATTCACCACACCAGCGATTTTAGGCCATTTCGACTTGTTCCCAACGCAGTCAACCTCTCTTGACACCACCATTACAATCCCCTCAGCCCCCACATCAAAACCCCTAGCCTCCTCGCCTAATTGAACACCCAATCGCTGGCCGTCGCTCTTAGTTTCAGTCGGCATTTTGTCCAAATTCTGGCAGGTCCTGATATTGGAAACCACCCCCAACACCACCAATAGCATCATCGACTTCCCCCCATCAAAACCCCCAACATTGGTAACCGCAATTGCCTGTCGATTGTTGTTGCCTCTCCCTTAGGTTTTCGCGTTTTGTTGCCCTTTTCAGCCAAATTCTAGCACCTTGCCGAGGTGTAATTGGGTGAAAAAGTTAGGGGTTTTGGTGAGGAGGATAAGGGAATGCTGATGGTGGTGTTAGGGAGGTCCAATGGTGTCAAAATCAGACCAAATTTTTGGCTTGGCCAGGATCCTCTAGGTATATGAGAGAAATTTGAGATGTAGGGGTTATTTTGAGAGAAAAGTAACGGTGTTAATTTAAGGGTGGGAATCTGTAATTTATGAAACCAGGGGTGGAAACTTACAGATTCGCAAAACCTTAGGTGGGAAAATGTTGTTTACTCTAACAAGAAATCTAGATCATAAAGAAGACTTC